CTACATATTGACTAGAAATTGAGTGGGTCTTTTTTTCCTACTAGCATAATTTGTAATTTTACCGTAGAATGCAGTAAGAGAAAGTACTCCTAGGAAAAGTATCATTAAGGACAATAAATATTTCTCCCTCAGTTCACTGATATTCTTAAACATCTGACGGTTCAAATTGTGATGTGATTTCTTAGAATTAAAAAATTTTTTCAATACCAAGCCACCCAATCCATAGATTAGCTTTTATATTACCCAGATGGCTACATAAAATAATCTCTCTCCATTCTTATATTCTTTAAAAAAAACAATCCATTATTTGTATGGTACTTCATAATTTACAAGTCTTCACATACATAGTATCTCACATAACCTTCACAGAAGGCAAAAATTTTCATCACTTAACAGATGACAATACTGATCCTTTACCCAGGTGATATTACTGGTAATGGGAAGCATCAAAAATAGAACTTGGGATTTTGAGACCAGTATTCTTTTTTTCCTTATACCAAGCCACCCTTAAGTATAAAAGATTCTGTTCCAAAGCATTTCTATTTGTTCATAAAAAGTTTTTTTAAAAACCTAGTACCAAAATTCACAAAGATAAAATGACTCACCATCAAAGCCTTGCTGGTGGTACACTGATTTCCAGAGTCACACAGTCATGTCTCGGCATGTTCAGCACCACATAGGTGTGTTCTACACCCTACACAATCACTGCCCCACAGCTCTCTGATCAAATCAAGTACACTACAAGACAGGCGGGATAATACATTACCACGGACCTGAATAAATGACCTCACAAAGTGAAACAGACCTTTCTGAAAGCTTACCTGAGTGCAAGCTGTTCCATCCTCTGACTGGGAACTGGTAATGGAATATTAAGAAGCTGAAACTGAGATTCCTGCTATGAAACTAACAACACAAAATACTGTAATTTTAGAAAAGTTTGTAAAAGATTGCTGATTGGCTATGTTCAAACTATCAGTGGCCGGAAGCTACATTCTGAAAACTTAAATACCAGAAATGCATTTTAACTTTTAAGAAGTTCGGGGATTGTGAACATGGCAGGCAGAAAGAGAATCTGTACATCTGAATTTCAACAAAAAGTCTGAGAGCACTGGCCTATTGAAAAAAGGATTACAATATGATGACTATTCAAAGCCTTCCAGTTGGCATTCTGGCTAGGATATAGGATCTTTTCCTAAAGTGTTTCTTTTATGTGAAAAGGATTTAAAAATTATAATACCATATATTAAGTGCAAGCAAATTATTACCTTCTTAGAGCATTAAAATTGATTAGTTAAAAGAATGTTAATTGTAACCCTCTCCTTCAAAAGAAATCATAAACATGCTGCTCCCTTCTTGCCTTTGGGGCAAACTTCCTCTTCTTGCGTAGCACTAGAGACCCCCAGTCTATAAACCAGATCTCTAAGTAAATAATTTCCTGCTGCTCCTAAGTTACTTCAGTCATGTCTGAACTCTTTGCGACCCCATGTACTGTAGCCCGCCAGGCTCCTCTGTCCATGGGATTCTCCAGGCAAGAATACCAGAGTGGATTGTCATGCCCTCCTCCAGAGGATCTTTCTGACTCAGGGATCGACCCTGCATCTCTCACATCTGCATTTGTAGGCAGGTTCTTTACCACTGGTGCCAGCTGGGAAGCACTAAATAATTTCTTCAGCATGTTTTTTAAATGAATAAAAAATAAGATTCCCAGGTATTTTCCCCAAACCTGTAAGGTCCCTAGTTGCCTAGCAATCAGCAAGATAATAGCAGGAAAGCAAGAACTCCTTTCTTGCCTCTAGCTTGGCAGAGGGGCTGGACCTCAATGGGAATCCCATAACTAAATCATCAAACAGGGCAAAGCTATAGCTTTTTAGCTGTAAGCCCAAGATTCAGGCATGATACTACCACACTGGGTACGGTGTTACGTTTGAAGTAACTTGGTTCTCACAGCCACCGAGCAGCTGGAGTTGTACCTGAAGCTCTGTTCTCTACAGTGTACTTAACTGTACAGTTTTTTCTAATTGTAACATGTCACAATGCCAGTGCTGAAATACTGGGGCTGTGGGAAAGACGTTTAAAAAGCATGGCCTGAGGACTTGCCTGGTGGGTCTGTGGTTAAGAATTTGCCTGCCAACACAGGGGACACAGGTTTGATCCCTGCTCCGGGAAGACCCCACATGCTGTGGGGCAGCTAGGCCTGTGCACCACAGCTACTAAGCCCACGCTGGGCAACAAGAAGCCACTGCAGTGCGAAGCCCACACACTGCAACTGGAGCGGCCCCTGCTTACCGTAACTAGAGAACGCACGTGATGAAGACCGAGAGCAGCCAAAATAAGTACTTATAAAACTATAAAAAATAAAAATGAAAGCAAATGCCCGATGGAATGGAAAGATGAAAAATTATATTCTTCACACCAGATTTTTATCCACTCATTCAAACACCTTCTTTTCCATGTAGTTCAAGTGGTAGAGGTTACAATCTATTACTACTAGTACAGAACAGAATGAATCAACATTCTTACAATATTGAAAGACTAGGATCATTCCTAACACTACTTTGCTTTATTTCTTACTACTAAATTTTAAGTCATCCATTCCTTCAATATGCAATATCTCAGCATTATTGAAACAATGTTTTATATCTAGAGATTTTCTAAACTTTCTAGGGAACTAGATCTATAAACTGGAAGATTTTTTTTTTTTTTGTTATTATTTAAAAAAAATGATTATCTCTGAGCTTTACAAGCTGATTATTGTCTGCAAAACTGAGTATTCTTCCTCTATACAAAGGCAACCAACTTAACTTCTCATTAGAAAAGAAAATAACCAAACAACAAATACAAGATAAGAAATTAGCCAGAAAGCTATGGCTTGTTTCCCACTCAGGAAAAAAGTATAACTGGTAACAAATACAATTTCCATAAGTGGATACTTTTTTAAACTTGTAAGGTTTCCATTTCTAAAACAGAAGAGTTGAGACACTTTTCTAAGCAGCTTAATCTGTCAGAAGATTTCATATCAATATTTACACCCTCAGTACTTTCTATTTTGCTTTTACACAGTTAACTTTAAAAGGTAATTCCTCCCATTAAATTTGTGTGTTATTAAAAGCGTAGGCTAAAGTTAAATGGGCAAAGATAAAGGCCTACATTTGTATTTTGGGGTAGGGGAAAGAAAGTTATTTCCAAAAAGCAAGAACTCTTTGGTGAGAAGTATTTTTTACTAACACTTACCAATTTTATTCTTCCACAATTGGATGCATCAACTTGAGTCCAATGAGCATCTGGATTTGCCACATCTTGTGATTTCCAACCTTAATCATAATTGTGTCTTCTCTTTTTGTACTCATTTATACAAATGGAGGGCAAGAATACAATAAATATTTTAGTGATTATATGAGTTCTATACTAAGACAGTGTGACCCTGCTAAGATAGAATTTTTGGCTCACAGACATTACTACCATGAGCTAACTTATTTGCTGCTGATATAAAAAATACTCTGGTATATAATAGGCAATTATGGGGTGTAAACTTATGAAAACTGAATATATAAAAATAGAGAATTGCCTGAAGTAATTACAATCAATAATTTTAGAGCTGGAAGGAAATTTAGAAATCATCTAATCTCAATTCCTAGATAGAAAGTCAGATATAAAGACTTGGTTGGCAAAACCACACTTCTCATGAGTGCCAGAGCTAGTTAATATTCCAGGTCAATTATTCCTCACAGTATACAATACTCATAGTTAAGAATAAATTACTTGAAAATTTATTTCCCAACAGATCTTTGTTAGATTAAGAAAATCAATCCAAACAAAAATGTTCAAAATCTGCTATCTATTCTTCCTTCTTAGTTCATGTTGTAGTTAAACTTTAGAAGGACAAAAGGTCAAGGAACTAGATCAAGGAACTACACAACTTAAAGTGAATAAATTCAACATCTGAGCATAATCCTTTTCTCTAGTCCTGAAACAGGTTGATTTCAACACAAATTCTTAGATATTTGCCACTTAACTTCCAGGCTTATAGACAAAGTTGTAACAGATCTCAAGATGTGGAGTTGATTCAGTGACAAAAACTTAATTTGAGCACTTTGCTTCATGGCTATTACAACCACAAAATCAATTTCTCTCAAAGGAGGTTTCCGCCTCAGAGGGCTCACATATAATCTCAATTAGCGAAAACAATAGGCAGCTTTCTGTTTATTCTTTACACTATGTATATCTTAAATGGGAAGAAAAAGGGAGTAAAACAAAAATTAACCCAGAAGAAATTTTTTCACTTAGATTACCTAGACATCAGCTCATAATGAACTGGGAGATCTACAGTATACTGTATGGTCATTTAAGGCACAAAGCTTTACAGGACTTGAGGTAGCTGCTTACAACAGGAGCTTAAAGCAAGATGAAGACAAGATACCTCATAAAAGAGAGAGACTTTAATAAAATTTTAATTGCAAGGAGTAAATCAAAATGAAAATTTGAAAAGTTAAAGCATATTTGTTTTTATTTATAGACAGTTATCACAAGAATTGTAAAGAAAAAGAGAATATCAGAATGGAACTGGATATATGTTTTCATGCTATAGCTAAGAATAAACAATGTTCCTATATATTATGGTTAGTGAGCACATTATCAGTGTAACAGTGAATTGTGGTTATTTAAAAATATGTAGACCATAATCTGTGCTTTAGAAATAATTGTATATAGTGTTATAAGCTGAAAAGACTTCAAAAGAATACCAAATATACACCTGTGTATAAGAATTCAGAAAAGGCTGCATTCTGTAAAGTCAATCAGCTGTATTAAAAATGACAAATTCAAAACAAGATGCATGTTATATAAAAAAGGACTTTGTAAGACTTGCTTGCTACATTAAATCCATAGTTTAATCCACAAAATTTCCTTTTAATTATCATTCAGACAGAAGCATGCAAATAGTTCTAGGATCTACTTCGAGTCTTCCCCAAATCCACTAAGGCTACATATTCTCTCTTCAGGAGCTAAGCAGGTATTCGGGTAGCTGCTTCCTCCTCTGCATCTGCTCGGTTTGCGTTAATTTCTGCAAGTGTTCGGCCAAACCGTGCCCATTCATCATTTCGGGGGACAGCAATCTGCTGTTAAAAGAAATACAATGCTTTATTACAGTGAAATAAAAGATCATCTTACCCACTTTTCAGTGTTTTCAAATAATTTTTCCATTAAAAAGTAATAATTGACTTGAATGTCCCTTCCATAATTACAGCTACTATACCAATAATTTATAACATTTCAAAACAAAAGATAGTGTTTGATAAGTGTGTTGTGACAGTCTCAGAAATGATTTTGCTATTATCGGCATCTGTGCAAGAGAGAATGACAATGATGCTCTGTAAATATAACTCCTATGCACTATCTCATGGATTTTCTGGTGAGCAGGAATTCTTGGAAGAATTTTTACTTCTTGCACATTAGTATGAAGTAATTTTTGAAACATGGTTCATAAGAGGCTGGTTTCTTGTTTAAATATTTTTGTTTGGAGTATAAGATAACCTTTCTTGATGTATCAAACCTTTCGTCAAAAGGTATGCTGCTACTTACCAATTCAGTGACACATCAATAGTAAAAGGGGAAAGGACACTTGTGATATATTTCCCTCACTGAAGTAGTTCAATAACCAAAAATTTTTGACAGCTGTCATTATAATATTGGAGGAATCTAGTATGCCATATGAGGGCACAGAGCATTCAGTGTGGCAAATGGATGTGCCAGCTTTTAAATCTTCTGTATGACTCTAGACTCGGACAGTATACCCAGTATTGTAGCTCCCAGACAAATGTGACTATTTACATTTAAATTACTTAAAATGAAATAAAATTGAAAATTCAGTTATTCAATTGTTCAAGCCACATTTTAAGTGTTCAGTAGCCAAATCTGGCTGATAGCTACCATGTTGGATGGTGCAGCTACAGAGTAATTCCATCTATGCAGACAATTTAACTGGCTGCTCTAAATGATCCAATTTACCTCTCTCCAGATGCAGTTGCTAGAGGCTGTGGGATTTCCAGAGAGGATGGAGAATCATAACACACAGCAAAAGAAAAGAGTGACTAAGGTGCTGCTGCTGCTGCTGCTAAGTCGCTTCAGTCGTCTCCGACTGTGCGACCCCATAGACGGCAGCCCACCAGGCTCCCCCGTCCCTGGGATTCTCCAGGCAAGAACACTAGAGTAGGTTGCCAATTCCTTCTCCAATGCATGAAGGTGAAAAGTGAAAGTGAAGTCGCTCAGTCGTGTCCGACTCTTAGCGACCCCATGGACTGCAACCTACAAGGCTCCTCCATCCATGGGATTTGCCAGGCAAGGGTACTGGAGTGGGTTGCTATTGCCTTCTCCGGACTAAGGCATTGCTGCTGCTGCTGCTAAGTCGCTTCAGTCGTGTTCGACTCTGTGCGATCCCACAGACGGCAGCCCACCAGACTCCGCTGTCCCTGGGATTCTCAGGCAAGAACACTGGAGTGGGTTGCTATTTCCTTCTCCAATGCATGAAAGTGAAAAGTGAAAGTGAAGTCACTCAGTTGTGTCCGACTCTTCGCAACCCCATGGACTGCAGCTACCAGGCTCCTCCGTCCATGGGATTTGCCAGGCAAGAGTACTGGAGTGGGTTGCTATTGCCTTCTCTGGACTAAGGCACTAGCCAGTGCTAAAACATGAGGAGACCACTCCTGAGCATTGTGCACAGTCAACCCAAACAGTAAAGATGAGAGGGCTGCAACTCATCCTGTTGGGTTCATTCATAATGGCTTTGCAACAAGGCTCAAGGGGTCAAGAATGACATTTCACACAGTCATTAGACAGCTCTTAAAAGATACTACTTTTTATTTGAGCTACCTGATCCAAACAAATCTATGAATACAGAAAATAAAATCTTTTCTCAATGTCAATTCTGTAAAGCCTCCAAGTCCAACTATAACTAAATTTCTTCTGCTTGAAGAATTTCTAATTTCCAGCAATGCATGCTGGAAAGTACTTTCGGCAAATACTACCCTCAAAATTTGTTGCATAGGGACACAGGACATTCAGTTTACAAAGGAAACTAATCTCAAGAGTTGCTTCTGTAATGAAAAGTAAAATTTATCTTTACAAACACATGTGTTATTCAATTCATGAACCTCAAAGACTAGACTTAACCACAAAGATACCATCACTATAGTTCCATGAAAGCTAAATAGATGTGTCAAAATTACAGGCAGCGAGCCCCATACCTCTCCCACATCATATATAACAATCTGTCCTTCAGAATCACCCACGGCAATCTCTCTTCCAGAATGGGTCCATCTTACACGATTAAGAGCAGGATTACCTTCCACAGAAATGCTTGCAGTTGGCACCTAAAGTCATTTAAAATATAGCTCAGTGTTAAAAGTTTCATCAGGATTTCTATAAACATGTAAAATAGTAATTCCTTTTTCTTCCAATCTGGCTAGGTTTGTGAAAACAAAGATGAAAATAGATAAAGAATTTTCCCAACTTTCTTCCTGTTCAGTGATACATTCTGAATGACATTACAGTCAACCCCTGAAAATGGTTTGGGAAAATAACTTAAGTCCTTTCATAAGAAATCTTCACATGACTGGACATATCATTTTGAGAAATCTTCTCTTTAATAAAGGATTCTTTGTTGTTTTGACTTTTTTAAGAAGTCAAGCCATTTGAAAACAGATGGCCAAAACCTCATTTAAAGAAACATCTCAAAAGCCCGCATAAACAGATTATGGTTCACTTTTAGAGGACAGGAGTTACTTTTGTAGCTTGTGTCTCTGTTAGCTAAAACCTGTGATTTGATCCACAGATTCTACACAGTTCATACTGAAGATGCAGTATGGGTCATTCCAAAGCCCTTGTTCCCATGAACGACTGGAGGCAAGGCAAGATGATGGCACCAACACAATGGCACCATCCCTTGGATTATGACTGTATCCTCTGCTATGCTGAGGAAAAAGAAATTATTTGCCACTCACAGAGCAAACTTTCAATGTTTGACTCAGAACAGAATCACAATATTTTTAAATTTTTGAAATCGGATTAAAAATAATCCTTCTATTTGACACAAGTCATCCCCAAATGATTAATTTAACCTTCTAGAATGCCAAAATAGTTTTAAGAGAAAAATTATACCTTAGCTTTATTGTGAGTTAAATTATAGAACAGATCCAAATTTAATTGTAACCACAAATGCCTAACATGAAAATCCAAATTAAGAAAACTGGTACCACTCTAGGTAACTAGAAATGTATAATTAAGTCCAGTCATGTACCCAGGACTCAATATCTTTCCCTAGCAGTATCTGAATGTTGCTCTTCAAACTACTAGAGCAGAAGTTAGCATGATGTTAAAATACTTGTATTTCCAATACATAAATTCCTTGTCCTGTATAATCAACTAATTTACTTCAAAGATCATGATAACATACATTTAGCCACTAGAAATATGAAAAGACGTGAGAAACAGTGGCTGTGGGGGAAGGCACCAAGATACTTTCTCCTCAACAACTTTTATTGACAGAACTGCTAATGTTACTTCCTAACCACAACACTGCAATACAGGACTCTAACAACACTCTAAGCCTCTGCCTACATTGGTAAAAACAAACATGGTTAAAAATAAATAATAACTGCAGTTACATTTCATTCCAAATAAGTCATTTTAGTATAATAATTAGGAAATTTGATTATTTCTATATTAATTTTATAGTAACAGTAACACTGTTTTTAATCTTTCACAGAGCAAGTCATGAAAATACATTTTGTGTCACTCAAGTCAGCCTAAGACTAGTATTTATGGATAATATACAATTCTACCAAGGCTAAGAGATAATTCAGAAATTCAGAATTAAGGTTAACGTATGTCAACAGCCTGAAACTATCTGCTTTCTAGCCTATGAATGAAAATATCCCAGCTGCCTTATGAACGAGACTTTGCCAAGACATGAAGAGACCTGACAATGCTTTTCAGAGGTAAAAGGAACGCCCCAGTGCTCCTGGCAACAATGTTTCTCCCTTCAGTTCTGCACAGCAGGCTGTTTATTATTTAGGGCACAAAGCTTATTTGCTTTCTTTGTGATGAAGCTACAATCACAGAGTCCTTTCACATTCCTTGGGATAAAAGGAATTTCACAAATTATTCAATAAATCTCCAATTTTCTATTTTTCAGTGCAATTTTTGTTATTTTCCTGCTCACCTCTGTGTCATTATTGAGATTCCACAAATCCAGCCTACCCATGCCATCCACACAGGCAAACAGGGCTGGGTGAGTGGGTGACCACATAACATCATAAACATAGTCTGAATTATCTTCAAATGAGTATAAAGGCTTGTTATTCTGAAAGGGAAAAGTTGATTTTTAGCACAGTCAAAATATGACACACATTCAATAAATATGATAACATTTTATGATACTTAACTCAGCCTAGAAAAAGTTCCTGTAATCTGTTTCACTACAGAATTACCTGGAGTTATGAACTATGAATCAACAACTGGATTGCATTTTCTATTTAACTTGCAGACACCATACTGTTTTAAAAAAGGAATAGGATGTGCTTTAAAAACATTTCAATGAGAAGATTCTGGAAAGATGAAAGCAACGGCACTATACTTTTTAAATCTCCTCTAAATCTCCCCATAAACCCAGACAAAGCACTGAGGATAGCAAAACCAAAGATTCCTAAACAACATCTACAACAAAATCAGGAGACAAAACTTCAAATGTAAACAGGTGGAAACCTTGGCCAACTATGAGATCTGCATGGTACATCTGTGTGAGAAGTATAGGAAGGCACAAGAGCTTCTCACAGCTGGAGAATAGAACAGAAAAGCCTCAGAGTACACAGTGGGTGATCACTGGAGAGCATGGAGGTCAGTCAGAGAACAGCAGTAGAGACTGGGAGGGAGTTAACCCAGGAGAGCTTTAACCTAGACCACAAAACTAGAAAGGGCTTCCCAGGCAGCTCAGTGGTAAAGAATCCACCTGCCAAAACAGGAGACACTGGTTCTATCCCTGGTTCAGGAAGATCCCCTGGAGAAGGAAATGGCGACCCACTCCAGTATTCTTGCCTGGAAAATCCCACAGACAGAAGAGCCTGGCGGGTTATAGTCCATGGGATGGCAAAGAGTAGGACACAACTGAGCGACTAAACAACAACATGAAACTAGAAGAGCTATCCATGCCCGTTTCCTCTTCCTTAGAGAAAAACTCATTTCACTAGTAGATAATAAGGAACAAAAAAAAGGATCTCAGTCAAATCTCACACAAAGTTATTGTGACAGATCTTTAACGAGTGTAAGGATGTCACGACAATTAAATGTGAAAAGAACAGTCTTTTCAACAAGTGATGCTGGGACAACTGGATATACACATGCAGAAGAATGAAGTTGGACCCTCCTTCCCCACATCAAACCCAGAAATTAACTCAAAAATATCTTAGATCTGAATATAAGAGGTAAAATAATACAACTTCTAAATACAAAAGGTAAAAACAGTAAAACTTAGAAAGCACAGGAGTAAGTCATTGTGACTTTGGACTTGTCAATGATTTCTTAGATGAGATAAAAGCACAAATGACAAAAAAAAAAAAGTATATATATTGGGGTAAATAAAAATTTAAAACCCTTGTGCTTCAAATAATACCCTCAAGAAAGTGAAAAGAGAGCCTATTCAATGGGCAAAAATATTTGGAAATAATCTATCTGTAAGTAACTTGTATCTACAACTCTTAACAAAACTTTAATAAAGAGGCAAACAACCCAATTAAAACTTGGGCAAAGTTTTAATAGGCATTTCTCCGGAGAAGATCTACAAATACAAATAAGCACTTGAAAAGATGTCCAACATCATTATCCATCATGGGAATGCAAATCAAAACCACAATAGAATATCATTTCATACCACCAGGACGGCTTAAATAAAACCCCCAAACAACCGAATTGTACACTGTAAAATGATGAATCTTATGGTATCTGAATTATATCTCAATAACACCATTATTTAAAAAAAAAAAAGATAAATTGAATTTTTAAAAAAGTGATAGACAAATAAGATTAACAAAGATATACCTATAATGGCAGGCCCTAAAAATGAAAATCAAAGCAATACTATAGAATACAAAAATAATAATTTTAGAGAACTCTCATAAAATAAAAAACAGCCTGAAATTCAAATTAGAGTATCTTCTGTAGATACACAATCAACCCTTAAAAAAAAAAGAAAAAAAAATTGATCATCCAGATTTTTAAATCAAGTTATGAGGTAATAAAAAAAAACCAGGACTGTCATCAGGCTTTTTGACAATGCTTTTGCCAGAAAACGAGAGTAATATATTTAAGGTAATCAAAAAATGTAAACTGTAGATTTTATATACAGCCAAACTGGTCTCCCCAGTGGCTCAGTGGTAAAGAATCACCTGCAATGCAGGAGAAACAGGAGACATGGGTTTGATCCCTGGGTCAGGAAGATCCCCTGGAGGAGGCCATGGGCAACCCACTACAATATTTTTGTCTGAAGAATCCCACGGACAGAGGAGCCTGGCGGGCTACAGTACATGGGGTCACAAGAGGTGGACATGACTGAAGCAACTTAGCAGACAGCACAAACTGACCTTCATAAACAGACTCTTGTGAATACAGGAATAATGCACCCATGAGCACCTCCTGAGGAATCTATTGCAGAAGAAGCTCCAGATGACCAAAAAGAATGAAGAGCCATCAACATAAGGGCTGGGAGACACCAAGCTTCTCCTTAAAAAATTATAAACAATCTGCAACTATACACAATAGTATGAACGATACCACAAAATGCAAAATCCAGACTGTGGGAAACTTACAGGACAACCAAACTGGTTTCTTCAACAGCAGTAGCAGCAAGAAAACAAGACAGAGAAGGAAACCCGATTTTTAAGAGAAGGGCTCAAAGGATGTATCAATCACGAATAAATGAACCTCATATGGATTCGACTTCAAACAAATAAATGGTAACAACAACAAAAAAATTTTTTTAAATTGAACACCAATTGCCTATTTGATGAAATTAAGGAATCACTATTCATTTGGGGGGAGGGTGCAACAATGATATGGTAGTATTACAGGTTTTTTTGTTTTGTAGATATAATACTGCATATTATAAGTCTTTGCTTAAAATAATCCAGTGGTAGGGAGGGAATGTATGTAGGAAGAGATCAAACAAGTTGGTCATGTGTTGATAATTCTAGGATCCAAGTAATGAGCACAATGGTTAATTATACTCCTCTTTCTGCTTTTGTATCTATTTGGAATTTTCCATAACAAAAAGTTTAAAATTATAAATCTAAAACTTTCCAGGTATCAAAGCAAATGTCAACTGCACGATTATCTTAAAAGCCAAAAAAAAAATCTGTTTGTAATTAAGAAAATAAAAATTTTAACTGAACTTAAAAGTAAGCTAAAACCAGAAAGTAAGAGTTTTTTCCCCTCTTAAGATCATTATTTTCCTATAACTCCCCTTGGCAACAATGCCAAGTGAAGTCCCCCTTTAAGGTAGTGGATTTCAACTGGGATGAGTATCACAATCATTTGCAGAGCTTTTAAGAAATCCAGATGCAGGGTCCCACCTTCAGTGTGCATCATGAGTCTCTCTGGTGTTGCTCCACTAAAGATTCTGATGCACATCAATAATTAACAACCAGCCTGCTTAGAAATAGCAAGGAAAAATAAGAAAGCTTTCTTAAGTGAACAATGTAAAGAAATAGAACAGAACAACAGAATGGGAAAGATCTCTTCAAGAAAAGAGATACCAAGGGAACATTACAAGAAAAGATGGGCACAATAAAGGACAGAAATGGCAAGGACCTAACAGAAGCAGAAGAGTGGCAAGAATACACACAAGAACTACACAATAATGTCTTAATGACCCGGATAACCACAATGGTGTGGTCATTCACCTGGAGCCAGGCATCCTGGAGTGTGAAATCAAGTGAGTCTTAAGAAGCATTACTATGAACAAAGCTAGTGGAAGTGATGGAATTCCAGCTGAGCTATTTAAAATCCTAAAAGATGGTGCTGTTAAAATGCTGCACTAAATATGCCAGCAGATTTGGAAAACTCAGCAGTGGCCACAAAACTGGAAAAGGTCAGTTTTCATTCCAATCCCAAAGCACGGCAATGCCAAAGAATGCTCCAACTACCATACAATTGTGCTCATTTCACATGCTAGCAAGGTAATGCTCAAAATCTTTCAAGCAAGGCTTCAATAGTACTTGCACTGAGAACTTCCAGATGTATAAGCTGGATGTAGGAAAGGCAGAAGAACTAGAGATCAAATTGCCAACATCCAATGGATCACAGAAAAAAGCAAGGGAATTCTAGAAAAAACATCTACTTTTGCTTCATTTTCTACACTAAAACTGCTGACTATGTGGATGACAACAAACTGAAAATTCTTAAGAGATGGAAATACCAGACCACTTTACTGCCTCCTGAGAAACCTGTATGCATGTCAAGAAGCACCAGTTAGAACTGGACATGGAACAATGGACTGGTTCAAAATTGGGAAAGGAGTATGTCAAGGCTTATTTAACTTATGTGCAGAATACATCATGTGAAATGCCGGGCTGGATGAATCACAAGCTGGAATCAGACATGCAGATGATGGTACAAAGTGAAGAGGAATTAAAGAGCCTCTTAATAAGGGTGAAAAAGGAGAGTGAAAGGGCTAGCTTAAAACTCAACATTCAAAAACTAAGATCATGGTATCTGGTTCCATCACTTCATGGCAAATAGATGGGGAAAACGTGGAAAACAGTGAATGATTTTCCTGGGCTCCAAAATCACTGCGGTGACTGCAGCAACGAAATTAAGACTCTTGCTCTTTGGAAGAAAAGCTATGACAAACCTAGACAGTGTTTTCCAAAGCAGAGACATCACTTTGCCAACAAAGGTCCATATAGTCAAAGCTATGGTTTTTCCAATAGTCATGTACAGATGTGAGAGTTAGAACATACAGAAGGCTGAGCACCAAAGAATTTGATGCTTTCGAATTGTGATGCTGGAGAAGACTCTTGAGAGTCCCTTGGACAGCAAGGAGATCAAACCAGTCCATCCTAAAGGAAATCAACCCTGAATATTCACTGGAAGGACTGATCAAGCTGAAGCTCCAATACTTTGGCCACCTGATGTGAACTCATTGGAAAAAACTTTGATGCTGGGAAAGAATGAAGGCAGGAGAAGGGGGCGACAGAGGATAAGATTGGATGGCATCACCAACTTAATGGACATGAGTTTGAGCAAAGTCTGGAATACAGTAAAGGACAGAGAGGACTGGCATGCTGCAGTCCATGGGGTTGCAAAGAGCTG